TAGCAATTAGTCGAATCGATAGGATGAGAATGACTCATAACTGCTGCAAAATCTACACTCAATTCCTTTATTAATGAATAACTTGCTCGTCAGCAACCAAGCTTTCCCCTACCCATATCTGAAAGAAGCACATCAGCTTGTAGTTGATACATTAACTCTAACTAAATAGTAACTATTCTTCCTTTTTTGCAGGTCTCTCAGCGAAATCGATCAACCCAGGCGAGGTTCAACTCGCTGTTACCACTCATGGGCACCCTGACCATTTTGGTCAAGGAAATTTCTTTCCAAATGCTCGTCACTTTTTCGGAAGTTACGAGTATGTTGATGATGTTTACATAAAGACTGAATTAGACGTGGTGGGTAGCTTTTTTCTCTTCTATTCTGTAGATCAACCCCCGAAATCTATGTTTCCAGAACGATACAATGAGAATAACTAATAATGTGGAACTGTGGAATACTCCTGGCCACACTGCTCAGGATGTTTCTGTGATGGTCAGCAAAGTGCCGTGCTGTGGCATTGTAGCGGTTGTAGGTAGGTCTTGCTAATAGGCTTCTGTTTCATTGGTCTGGTCCAGACGTGTTTCAATTACAGTTGCCCCCATCCAAAAAAACATTCCCTCCAGGACCTATTGTCTCAGCGGTAACGGAAACATGAAACGTGTATGTTCAATAGTGCGATGGCCATTGTTGACTGATTTCTGAACGGCTGTCGCCCGACTAGGCGGCAGTTTTCACACCCGGATTAGGGTTGTCCCCAAGAGACTGGGCTTCGGGGCTTCTTAGCAAACAAAAGTCATGCAGGTCCAGTTCCTAGTGTTGCATCCAGAGCGAAGGCAATCGAGTTTCACTTGATAGTTCCGATTCAGGAAGGCGTCACCATGTTTTTGTTCCTGGCTCATCGGAACGAGCCATGATGAACATCTATCTATTCGACCATTAGAAGAAATTCGAAACTGGAGATTAACAATTAAAATGCTTAATTTTGGAGGAATATATTGTGTGAGAGTCTTCCGGGAGCAGACAGCTTATTGGCCACCACTCAGGAGCACCTGGACGCCCGTGCACAGTTCCTCAGTGGTCTACTACTTGGGGTTCGCTACATAGCGCTGCTTCCCTGCCATCAACTCTCTCAGCTCCTCTAGAGTTGAAATGGAGTTGTGATTCGATAGAGTTTTTTTAGAGTTCTCAAAACAAGCAGCCGAGTTAGGGGACCTTTCACGATGACCCTTTGGCTATGCCGATCGGTTACAGGTCTCCTCTTTTGCCTAGTACAATGCAGTTTCTAAACCCAGATAAGCCGGAACAGAAGCTCCTTTTTGACTCTGAATATTCATAGCGTAGTGATTGTCTTAGGTAAAACCAAGCAGTTCAGGTGACCTGTTCTACGACGAGGCTGATGCCCTTAACATATCGTCGGAATGGTTCAAGGAAGCTTGGAATCCAGTCGTTGGTAAGATTGTCTTAGCACTGATCATGCGACTTTTCATCTTACTGTAAACAATGTAGTTTTTTATTTTTATTTTTTATTTTTTATTTTTTTTATTCCGGTCTCGATTTTTTGAGTCGCCTGTGCTCCCACATTATTTTTCTCCCTGTAAAGTTGATTCTCAATAATATTGTTTTCAGGTAAAACCAGTCGCGATAAAGTGATCTGTCATGCAGACTACATTATTCCAGGACACGGAAAGCTATTCAAGTACGTAGGGTTGCCTTTTCCATCAGCTGCGAAAATGAGGATTTTTTGTGAATTTTGTTAAAAAAAAAGATAAATTTGTAAATCTCGCAAAAAATTCCGACGTTGCTCTGAACTTCATGTTTTGTTCATTTTTTTAAAACCTTCGGAGAAAAGTTTTGATAGTGCTCTAAATTTCATGTTTTTTTCTTTTAGGAGGAGAAATCTGATTTTGTCTGTCCAACGGTTTACATATTAAAATTCTACTGGTTCTCCATTTTATTCCATTCAGAGTTGATCAACGAATGAAGGAGATGGCAAATTGTTTCCAGGCCCTCAATTCTCCAGTCGAACTGCCACCTACGACACAGGTGAGTTTTTGTTCCAAAAAGTGCTTATTTGCATCAGTACTTATAAGATGTCTAACAAAGACTCGTGGCGAAAAAAACGCATCCGTTCAGCGGTCGCCGCGCGCGGCGAATAGACGTTCAATCCCCTCCTCCCTGCTATGGCAGGGCATAAGACGTAGGGAATATATGGTACCGACTATTGATCGTTGAAATTGGCAATTACTAGTTTCTTGAGACTTTCAAATTGATTTTTTGCTATAGAGGAGGGGTCCAGAGATGAAAGGCGAAGTAGTTTCAAACCTCCACATTCAACAGGCGATCAACCTATTGAGTTTGAAACAATTTCTTGTTGGATATTAATTTATTTGGAAATAAATATAATGGTTCTGGACGAAATTTTACTTCAGTCCTACACCTTCCCACCATTCACCTTCACCACGCCACAGAGTTCAACCGCTTCTCAGCAGATGGCGACCGTATCTGTACCGGTAACAACACCATACTCTATTCCGAAACTTTACGATTCTGGTGAGTTTCAGCATATTTAGCTTTCTACACACGGATGAACCTTCCTTTGAAGGATACCGGGTCACATCTTGCACCATAGGGGAGAGTATTGCACTTTAAAAGTCATATCGAGTTATTTACTTGATAGCATCTCAATTTCTCGTCTCCATTACTCCATAAGGGGATTTACAATTGGCGTACTGATCAACTCAGTCAACAAGTGACGTCACTTTTAGAATGAATTTCCAGGGAGTCAAGACTTTATGTCACCCATCATGTCACAAGCACAAAAAAGCTTGCCGTTAATAATAAAGACAGTTCTTTCTCACACTGATGCTCCGCCCAGCTCCGTCGACTCCAACACGACTACCACTGTCGACAACGAAAGTATGAACGCTTATTATTACAATTAACGATGACTTTTCCTGCTGCAGTTTATGACTGAAAGTTTTTTGCCAATAGTAAGGACCAGATGATTTTTTAAAAAAAACTTTTTTTATCCTTGTAGCACTTGAAAGAGGTCTACTTTAACGATTTTGGATATCCGGATACGAATGCATATGGGTGGTCTGTAGCTAAAGATGTAGAAGAATTATATGGTCAGGGAAGCCATGAACCAGTTTGTGTTTCCCACTTCAGTATGAGGGAGTATAAGTAGTCAGTAGTCAACCTCATAGGGCCCACAAAATTCCATAGTAATCCGGAAGAAGGGGGAGGACTTGAATTTTAGTTGAAATATGAAGCTCAGCAATCCATACAATTCTTTTTGACCGTAATTTTAAGATATATTGGCACCAGTCGTCGAGAAAGCAGCTTTCCAACTGGCAAAGCTACTGCGAGTGGATCAAGATGCCGTCTCCAAGAAGGACCCCTATCCATTCACCGATTTCTGGCAGAATACAATGCAAAGAATCGCTGTAAGATAGTTAACTAAATGATACTTTTCCATAATTAAATAAGTAATCGATTATTTAGAAGGATATCAATGTCAACCACATCGTATCCCAAGCTCATACTGCCTCAATGAACAAATTAGGACCAGTTCTAAACCGTCTACGGTCGGCCCGCGATTCGCTCCTCAGTTACTACCAGTATTAATTTGATCATCTTATTTATTGTAAAGAATTTTAATATTGATAAATTATTCCATATTAATAAATACGAAATCACTAAGTAGTTGTTTTGTATCGGTAACCATTTACTGGTATATCACTACTCTCCTAACTGCACTGCTTTTGCAGTAGCTGATTACTCCTCAAAACGATCGTACTAATCCTACAGAAGCCAGAGAACGGCCCACGTCTATTTAAAGTACTACTTCCCTAACTTCCATTTCAAAGTTTCAAGTGCAACGCCGTCTATCCACGCTCGTCGTGCCGCTGCGTAGTACGCCATGCGATCGATATGCATTTCATCTATTGCGGTCAGCAAGAGTATAAATGATCAATGGATCAGCACAAGATTTATTACAGTGGGCACTGATCATCAGCTCGACTTTGTAGTTTCCTGGCGAGCACAGCCTGTCTGATTTGGTCCCTTGTCAGATGAGCTGGTTTTGGTTTGCGGCGATAGCTGTTTCGACCCTTCCTTTCGATGAGGGCTGAAATATCGGAAGACTTTTCGAAATCGACCCTTCCTTTCGATGAGGGCTAAAATATCGATAGACTTTACAAAGAAAAATTCTTGATGATTTCAAAAAGGGGACTTACTGCCTAGGTCAGCACAAAGTGTATTCGAATGATGCAGTTGTCGAGCGCTGCATAACCATCCCTTTTTACAGCTGTCATTACAGTTTCCAATACCATCGTATTTCGAACGGCGATAGTAATTCCTTAAGTGGACGATCACTTTGATTAATCAATCGATAATTTAGGTCAGAACAAAATTAAATAATACCAACTCGCGATACTTCTCGAAAAGCACATCATCTGTTTTCATCCGCTCAATCATGTTACTCCACTCAGACGGCGCTTGTGATTTCAGCCCTGGATATAACTCTTTTAGGAAACTTTCCCCATATTGGTAACCTAAAATGAGGCTCACC